TATTTCATAAATTTTGGATATTTCCTCATCTATGAACTCAGGACTACAAATTCGTAAAGCTCTCAAAAACATTGATGAGAAAACAGTTTGACTATCTTGATGGGAAGAATAATAGTGGACATAGGAACAGTTATTTGTAGGTTTTCTGTAAATTTTAAATTTGAATTCATTATTACCCTTAATAATTAAAAACGTCTAGAAAAGGCAATGAGTTATTTTCTTCAAACTCAACAGTAAAGTTTATAGAATGGGCTAAGCTATTTAATTTTCCAAGGAAATTGTGTATATCTACATTTTTGGGCATAAGACACAAAATATCATCAACATATCAGAACCATTTAGCTCTATTAGGGAGGATTGTGTTAAGCAACCTTGTTTCAAAAAATTCCATGTATAGGTTACTAAGAACAGGTGAAAGAGGATTCCCCATTGCCATACCAAACTTCTGAGTGTAAAACTTATCATTAAATACAAATTTTGCATCAACAATGCAAAGTTTAATAAGTTTAATGATAGTAGGAACTGGCAATGGTAAATCATAGTTAACGAGTTCTTCAGATAAGAAACTTAATAAATCATCAACAGGAACTTTCGTAAACAAGGAAGTAACATCAAAATTAACCATGTTAAAATCATTTAAGTCAGTCAAGGAGCTTAATTTATCAACTAAGTCTTGTTGTTTTTAACATTAAAGTTAGAAATTTTGCCAACAATAGGGCTCAAAATATCAACAAGCCATTTGGATAATTTATATGAAACTGACCCTATGGAGCTAATAATTGGTCTGACTGGATTCCCTGGTTTGTGTGTTTTTATTAGTCCAAACATGTAAGGCAAAGATGGATTAGTGGAAGTAAATTGTTTGACTAATTCATCTTTGCCTTTCAGTAGAAGTTTTATTGTTTTATTGAAATTGCTGTTAACGGTTTCTAGGGGATTTTTCCTAAGTTTAGAATAGGTTTCAGTATAATCTAAGAGATTATTCATTTTTTCTTGGTAATCATTTTCTTTCATAATTACTATTGCATTTATTTTGTCTGCTTTAGTAAGGCGCAAATTTTTATTGTTATTAAGTGTATCATAAGACTTAAAGAATCTTTGAGGGCAATTGGGAATGTTTGGTTTTAACATAGAGCTGTATACCATTCCTTTACTAATATTAATTTCATCAGAGGATAAATCAGAAAATTTTTCAAAGTTACAAAAGGCTTTTGCAATTTCAACATTATTAAAGTTTTTTTGAAGTTGCAAAACTTAGGCCAAAACCTAGAGCAGCAGTTGTATGTTTGTCTAAAATTTCATCTGATAAGTTAATTACAAAATTGTTATTAGCATGCTTTGTCCAATCACTATTTTCAATTAAAATGTCTAATTTTCTTTAGTTTGTTTTTGAGTTCATTACAAATTCTTCTGAGTTTATTATAGCAATGATCCAACAAACTGTGTTTCCATTCTGATGGAATGGCCTGATTAAAAGAGAATTTTTTTTGTTTCTCAATATTTTGAATGCTTCCTTCTCCTGTATTTTAGTTATTTCAATATGTTTCTGAAGAATAATTCTCATAAAATCATCAAAAGAACGATCTCTCATGTCAAGGATGATATTGGCTAAAATTGCAAAGTTGCAAAAGCCTTTTGTAACTTTGAAAAATTTTCTGATTTATCCTCTGATGAAATTAATATGTTCTATAATGATTATTTCAGTCAAAAAGCCACAAACCTTTAGTTCAATAGCAGTGTGTTCGGTTTACATCCTAAAGAACCCAAGTTCGATTCCCGTGCGGGCCAAGCCTTCTTACACCTATTACCAGTGTTTACTTAGCGGTCAATATTTACACAAGTTAGTTCAATATTGTTGGGTCTCATCCTAGGGTACTGTAGCATACCTATTGCTCGGAGATTTGAAATGAACTGAGGCAAGGTACCAGCTTTTATCTTGTGTATTGAACTACGTAAATAATTCTGCTATATTGATCGCGACAATATATTTTAACTTAAGCAGTTAATAGAGGCAGGCAAGGTTTGTCACGCAAGTGGCAGCCGCCTCCTTGTCGAAACTCACCGTCACATCTCTCCCTGCACTCTGACGCTGATTGTTTTACCTTGGTACCACAGTATTTGTGTGTGCTCAATGGCGGCTCGTCCAAAGGAGCTGCAGAGCTGCAGTCCTCCCCCCAGATGCTCACTGCCAGACGTATGACTTCTTCAACCTTACGCTAAAATAATTTGCAAATGACAAATATATTACAGGAAAAATCTGCTGTATGTTCTTTTCGATGTATTTATAAGCGAATTTTTATTTTTTGTAGAAATTAAATGAAAATGATTAAAAATAGAAGCTTGATGCGGTACGATAGTATAGGCATAACTGGCGCTACGAGCCGCCATTGGCTGCTCAGTGTTGATGTTCGTTTTTATTGCTTGTTAATTTTATCATTTTTTTGTAGTGTGTGGTGTTACATGTTTCTTCATGGTTCTGAGCGACCTACGCAAGGTGTTCCTTAAGTGCTACAACTACTACTGATATTTTCTTACATTAAAAAAATACCCTATAATTAAAATTATGCTTAAAGTAAATCAACATTTATAAAAGAAATTCAAAGAAAACACAACAAAATGCTTTCACAGTTATATAGTTTTTTCGTTTTCTAAACACTTCTCTTTTTAGGTCCCCTTGTGCTTATTATAATTCAGAGACTTACTATAGACATGTAGCAGAACTGCCTTTATTTGTACACTTGTCTGTCATACTTGTCTGTGTTATACTTGTCTGTGTTATACTTGTCTGTGTCATACTTGTCTGTGTTATACTTGTCTGTGTTATACTTGTCTGTGTTATACTTGTCTGTGTCATACTTGTCTGTGTCATACTTGTCTGTGTTATACTTGTCTGTGTTATACTTGTCTGTGTTATACTTGTCTGTGTATACTTGTCTGTGTCATACTTGTCTGTGTCATACTTGTCTGTGTTATACTTGTCTGTGTTATACTTGTCTGTGTTATACTTGTCTGTGTCATACTTGTCTGTGTCATACTTGTCTGTGTTATACTTGTCTGTGTCATACTTGTCTGTGTCATACTTGTCTGTGTCATACTTGTCTGTGTCATACTTGTCTGTGTCATACTTGTCTGTGTCATACTTGTCTGTGTCATACTTGTCTGTGTCATACTTGTCTGTGTCATACTTCTGTTTCATACTTGTCTGTGTCATACTTGTCTGTGTCATACTTCTGTTTCATACTTGTCTGTGTCATACTTGTCTGTGTCATACTTGTCTGTGTCATACTTGTCTCTGCCATACATGTCTCTGCCATACTTGTCTCTGCCATACTTGTCTGTGCCATACTTGTCTGTGCCATACTTTGTACCATACTTGTCTGTGCCATACTTCTCTGTACCATACTTGTGTGTGCCATACTTCTCTGTACCATACTTGTCTGTGTCATACTTGTCTGTGTCATACTTGTCTGTGCCATACTTGTCTGTGCCATACTTGTCTGTGTCATACTTGTCTGTGTCATACTTGTCTGTGTCATACTTGTCTGTGTCATACTTCTGTTTCATACTTGTCTGTGTCATACTTGTCTGTGTCATACTTGTCTGTGTCATACTTCTGTTTCATACTTGTCAGTTTCATACTTGTCAGTTTCATACTTGTCAGTTTCATACTTGTCAGTTTCATACTTGTCAGTTTCATACTTGTCTGTTTCATACTTGTCTGTGTCATACTTGTCTGTGTCATACTTGTCTGTGCCATACTTGTCTGTGCCATACTTTGTACCATACTTGTCTGTGCCATACTTCTCTGTACCATACTTGTGTGTGCCATACTTCTCTGTACCATACTTGTCTGTGTCATACTTGTCTGTGTCATACTTGTCTGTGTCATACTTGTCTGTGTCATACTTGTCTGTGCCATACTTGTCTGTGCCATACTTGTCTGTGCCATACTTTTCTGTGCCATACTTGTGTGTGCCATACTTGTCTGTGCCATACTTGTCTGTACATGTATGGTATATACATGTATGATATGACCATACACGTATGGTACATGTATGATAGTTACATAATTCGTGTGCTAAGATTCACTGCAATATGTATTTTGGCACTTCATGCGGTGAAGTGTTGCTGATACAAAGTTTCGCCCACTAGTGGGCTTTATAAAGACAATCGTGGGTGAAGTGTTTACCATTAGAGACTTAAATAGTTGAAATGTCCTTTTAACACTCGTAGGCATCACGCCATTTTTGTATGTATTTTAACCTCTTGATTCACCGTATTTTGAATAATGTCTTAATACATTAAAATGTCCGTTTTTTAAATCATAATAAAATAGCATTTGTGATTTTTGTTGTGTTTTGCATTGTGTACATCTTTAAGTTTAATATGTTTATTATGCACCCCAGACCCATGGTATGGGCGGTAGTTAAAAGATTACAGAGGTACATAATGGGTCCAGGGACTGGACCACAATGTGTACATCTTGGTAAGCATTTTCGAGTGAGGTCATTATCATTAAGAAGTTAAGATGAAAGAACAGTAATTGTGGAAAATAATGTATTTTCCAGAAAAAATAGTTTTTTTTTTATGTAAATTAGTGTAACATACTGTATTTAATAAAAATTTGTCATAAAAAATGGGAAGCCTGCGCAGAGGAGACTCGCCATTGTTGTTTGAATTTGGATTAGAAACGTTAGTGAAATCGGAAGAATTTTCGTGCTCTAGAGGTTAAAATTGGGCTGACACCTCTCAAATAGCAGCAAAAATTGTTGGATGTGCATTCCTGCATAACTTGAGATATCAGGCGACTGGACAAGACAGTTCCAGGAACCTCAGATAAGTTTGGATAAGATTCATCAGAAAACAAGACAAGTGTTTCCTGACGCGGGTCTTGGTCATATGATGACCCACAGCTGGAGCTTTTGGTCATCTGACTGACGCCTTTCACTGACTTACCAGTCAACCACTTTAAAAATTATAATGCTAATTATTTTAAAACTACTACTACTTTCTGCAGTGTTATATACTCCTGCATTCGACTGAAGAAGCCTATTGTGCAGGCGAAGCTTTGCGATTATGCATACGAAAGTGCTGCTCATATGCTTATTCTTCAGCATGTTACTGAATTACATCAATAATGTGATGAACGAAGTTAAGGTGTTGAGACAAACGTTTGCAAGTAATGAATATAGTTGAATTATAAGTACCAGCTGATATACACAAGCCAACGGTGTACTAATACAGTTTTCTTCCTCAAGATGGAGGATCTGTTGCAGGAAGGCGTGGGTAAGGGCGTGCAGCTGCAGGTAAATCTGGTGCAGGTGGGCGTGTGGGCGGAGGATAGGGCGGTGCCACTAATGGTTCAGGGCCAGGCTGGTGGCACCCTACACAATTTCTGTCAGTGGGCCAGCAACAGACGACCCCCACGCAACGATTCCTTACATTGGCACCATGCAATGCTGCTTACTGGGTGAGTGCTACATCCCTCACCCCTCACTGACACCCTCCCTCACTCCACAACGACACCCCTCCCTCACACGCAACGACACCCCTCCCTCACACGCAACGACACCCCTCCCTCACCCGCAACGACACCCCTCCCTCACCCACAACGGCACCCCTCCCTCACCCACAACGGCACCCTCCCTCACTCCAGAACGACACCCCTCCCTCACCCGCAACGACACCCCTCCCTCACCCGCAACGACACCCCTCCTCACCCACAACGGCACCCCTCCCTCACCCACAACGGCACCCTCCTCTCACCCACAACGGCACCCCTCCTCACCCACAACGCACCCCTCCCTCACCCACAACGCACCCCTCCCTCACCCACAACGGCACCCCTCCTCACCCACAACGGCACCCCTCCCTCACCACAACGGCACCCCTCCCTCACCCACAACGGGCCCCTCCCTCACCCACAACGCACCCCTGTCACCCACACTGCAACCTCCCTCACCCAAAACGACCCTCAAGTTACCCAAACTGACTTAATGTATCGCATACCATAAGGTTTCCCAGCCACTTTGCAACTTACAAAGTCTAAAGTAAACAACTTTTGTACTTACTGTATAACTTCATCTACATTCACACTATGATGTGCAGATTGGTAATCAACCTTCACAATTGACACTTCTGTTCCACACTGTAACTCCTTCACCCACACACACTTCTGTTCACAATCTGACACCTCCTTCACCCACACTGACATCTCCTTCATCCCACACTGACATCTTCCTTCACCACACTGACACCTCCTTCACCCACACTGACACCTCCTTCACCACACTGACACTCTCCTTCACCCAACTGACACTCTCCTTCACCCACACTGACACCTCCTTCACCACACTGACCTCCTTCACCCACACTGACACTCTCCTTCACCCCACTGACACTCCTTCACCCACACTGACACCCTCCTCACCCACACTGCACCTCCTTCACCCACACTGACACTCCTCACCCACACTGACACTCCTTCACCCACACTGACACTCCTTCACCCACACTGACACTCCCTTTCACCCACACTGACACTCCTTCACCCACACTGACACTCCTTCACCCACACTGACACTCCTTCACCCCACACTGACACTCTCCTTCACCCACACTGACCCCTCCTTCACCCACACTGACACTCCTTCACCCACACTGACACTCCTTCACCCACACTGACACTCCTTCACCCACACTGACACTCCTTCACCACACTGACACTCCTTCACCACACTGACACTCTCCTTCACCCACACTGACACTCCTTCACCACACTGACACTCCTTCACCACACTGACACTCCTTCACCACACTGACACTCCTTCACCCACACTGACATCTCCTTCACCCACATGACACTCCTTCACCCACACTGACACTCCTTCACCCACACTGACACTCTCTTCACCCACACTGACACTCCTTCACCCACACTGACACTCCTTCACCCACACTGACACTCCTTCACCCACACTGACATCCTTCACCCACACTGACACACTCCTTCACCCACACTGACACTCTCTTCACCCACACTGACACTCTCCTTCACCCACACTGACACACTCCTTCACCCACACTGACACTCTCCTTCACCCACACTGACACACTCCTTCACCCACACTGACACTCTCCTTCACCCACACGGGCACTCTCCTTCACCCACACTGACACTCTCCTTCACCCACACTGACACACTCCTTCACCCACACTGACACTCCTTCACCCACAACTGCACACCTATCTCCTTCACCCACACTGACACTCTCCTTCACCCACACTGACACTCCTTCACCCACACTGACACTCTCCTTCACCCACACTGACACACTCCTTCACCCACACTGACACTCCTTCACCCACACTGACACTCTCCTTCACCCACACTGACACACTCCTTCACCCACACTGACACTCTCTTCACCCACACTGACACTCTCCTTCACCACTGACACTCTCCTTCCCCACACTGACACTCTCCTTCACCACACTGACACTCTCCTTCACCTCACACTGACATCTTCACTTTCATCCCACACTGACACTCTCCTTCACCCACACTGACACTCTCCTTCACCCACACTGACACTCTCCTTCACCCACACTGACACTCTCCTTCACCCCCACACTGACACTCTCCTTCACCCACACTGACACCTCCTTCACCCACACTGACACTCTCCTTCACCCACACTTAAACACTCTCCTTCACCCACACTGACACTCTCCTTCACCCACACTGACATCTCCTTCACCCACACTGACACCTCCTTCACCCACACTGACACTCCTTCACCCACACTGACACTCCTTCACCCACACACACACTCCTTCACCCACACACACACTCCTTCACCCACACTGACACTCCTTCATCCACACGGACACTCTCCTTCACCCACACTGACACTCTTCACCCACACTGACACTCTCCTTCACCCACACTGACACACTCCTTCACCCACACTGACACTCTCCTTCACCCACACTGACACTCTCCTTCACCCACACTGACACTCTCCTTCACCCACTGACACTCTCCTTCACTTTCACTGACACTCTCCTTCACTTTCACTGACACTACTCCTTCACTTCACTGACACTCTCCTTCACTTTAAACTGACACTCTCCTTCACTTTCACTGACACTCTCCTTCACTTTCACTGACACTCTCCTTCACTTTCATCCCTTCCCGACACTCTCCTTCATTTTCCCACTGACACTCTCCTTCACTTTCACTGACACTCTCCTTCACTTTCACTGACACTCTCCTTCACTTTCACTGACACTCTCCTTCACCCACACTGACACTCTCCTTCACCCACACTGACACTCTCCTTCACCCACACTGACACTCTCCTTCACCCACACTGACACTCTCCTTCACCCACACTGACACTCTCCTTCACCCACATGACACTCTCCTTCACCCACACTGACACTCTCCTTCACCCACACTGACACTCTCCTTCACCCACACTGACACTCTCCTTCACCCACACTGACACTCTCCTTCCCCCACACAGACACTCTCCTTCACCCACACAGACACTCTCCTTCACCCACACAGACACTCTCCTTCACCCACACTGACACCCCTTCACCCACACTGACACTCCTTCACCCACACTGACACTCTCCTTCACCCACACTGACACTCTTCACCCACACTGACACTCCTTCACCCACACTGACACTCCTTCACCCACACTGACACTCTCCTCACACCACACAACACACTCCTTCACCCACACACACACTCCTTCACCCACACACACACTCCTTCATCCACACGGACACTCTCCTTCACCCACACACACACTCCTTCACCCACACTGACACTCCTTCACCCACACTGACACTCCTTCACCCACACTGACACTCCTTCACCCACACTGACACTCTCCTTCACCCACACTGACATTCTCCTTCACCCACACTGACATTCTCCTTCACCCACACGGACACTCCTTCACCCACACGGACACTCTCCTTCACCCACACGGACACTCTCCTTCACCCACACTGACACTCTCCTTCACCCACACTGACATTCTCCTTCACCCACACTGACATCTCCTTCACCCACACGGACACTCCTTCACCCACACTGGACACTCTCCTTCACCCACACGGACACTCCTTCACCCACACTGACACTCTCCTTCACCCACACTGACATTCTCCTTCACCCACACGGACACTCTCCTTCACCCACACTGACATTCTCCTTCACCCACACTGACACTCTCCTTCACCCACACTGACATTCTCCTTCACCCACACTGACACTCTCCTTCACCCACATTGACATCTCCTTCACCCACACGGACACTCTCCTTCACCCACACTGACATTCTCCTTCACCCACACGGACACTCTCCTTCATCCACACTGACATTCTCCTTCACCCACACTGACACTCTCCTTCACCCACACGGACACTCCTTCACCCACACTGACACTCTCCTTCACCCACACTGACATTCTCCTTCACCCACACGGACACTCCTTCACCCACACTGACACTCTCCTTCACCCACACGGACACTTTCATCCACACCGTTTACTTTTCCACCTTGTTAATTAGTTTTGACTTATTCCGGCCACGGAAAGTGCCTTCATGCCGATGAAAGGTTCCTAATCAAAAGAATCGGATCTACCCTCCTCTCCCTAGGATTAAATCCAGGCGCTGTATTACCCTACGGTTTTAGCTCTTCCCCAAGATAACGCAGCAAGGGTGTCGTGATTAACTGCTGAGGGCATCATGTGTGCTTCGCAGGAAGGACCTCTTCGAATCGACTCCGACGTCCCTAGGTGTGACCTACAAGAGCGGCCTGTGCCACCCCCAGCGTGCTTGTTCGGTAGTGGAGGCACGGTCCTTCAAGGCGGTTCACGTGGCCGCCCACGAGGTGGCCCACTCCATGGGCGTACCCCACGACGGCCAGGACCAGGCCCTTCACTGCCCCGCCCAAGGCTTCCTCATGGGCCACACACTCAGCGAGGAGTCATTCAGGTGGTCTAATTGCTCCAAGGAAGCCTTCGCTGATCTGTTGAGGTAAGCTCTAAACCCACTCTACCAGTACCCTATAATATACGCTAATTTGCACAATAGTTACATATACAAACCGGGCACTATACATTGTATTTAACTGCCATCCCGTACGGTGATTATACTCCATTAATGTCGAGACGTGACGAATTAGAATATTTGGAAGCGCTGAAATCGCACGAGCCTTACAGAAGCAATATTTTGTATGACTGTTATGACCTCCCAGCGCTCCTACAGGAAAGACACATGTATGGAGGTCATCCCGCCAGGACAGACGAGGGTAGCAAACCCCGTGCTGGATCACACCATAGGGGGCCTCCCAGGCCAGAGATACCCAGCCGACGCGCAGTGCCAAATCGCCTTTGGGAACGATTACAAAGCCATGCCGGCCAGCAAGGTAAGGTACACACAGTTTTGTAATTGTGATGCTAACAGTATTTTTGTGTAAAAATAAAATTGGCAAAATTGTTGTTTTTAAGGTCACTTATTATACTGCTACGTATTTCCAAGAGGCTTTGACTGGATGTTGTTGTGTGTGACCTAATTCATGTCTGCGTAAATAGCTCATTACAACTGTAACCAGATATAAACATGTAAATAGTTCATTACCACTAATTTGTTTAGCTATCAAAACTTAAGTGGGCCAATCCCTGATCACATTAAGTGCCTCCGTAATCTTTTGACTACCGCCCACAGGATGGGTATGAGGTGCTTAATGAAGATATTAAACTAAAAAAACTGGATGTTGTGTTGTGCAGAGTATCTGTGAGTACCTGATGTGTACGAATGGTGTGATAGGCCAGGGGGCGCACCCGGCCCTGGCCGGCACCGCTTGCGGTAACAACCTCGTCTGTGCCGACGGCAAGTGTCAACAGCCAGAGAACCAAGACACAGCCCCGACTGCACCACCTACCCTGCCACCCGTCACTCCACCTGCCGGGCCACCCGACACTCCGCCCGCCTGGCCACCCAGTACGCCCGCCTGGCCACCCAGTACGCCCACCTGGCCACCCAATACGCCAACCTGGCCACCCAATACGCCAACCTGGCCACCCAATACGCCCACCTGGCCACCCAATACGCCCATCTGGCCACCCAATACGCCCGCCTGGCCACCCAGTATTCCTACCTGGCCACCCAATACGCCTGCCTGGCCACCCAATACGCCTGCCTGGCCACCCAATACGCCTGCCTGGCCACCCAATACGCCTGCCTGGCCACCCAATACGCCTACCTTCCCCAAGGCCTCCATACCCAATGCAGTAAGTGGAGAAATCATGGCTTCCAGCAGTGTGTGATAGCTACTAGGTTCCGCCCACCATGATCCTCCCTCACTAGGCAAACTGTTATATACATCTAGTTGTTTTAACATTTGTATGCAAAGTACTTACAGTACTTTAACCAACAAGCTTTTATTCATAAGCATATTTCACGTTCTCATTAGCATAGAAACTAAGGTTAAATAAATCTTTATTAAACACCTTTTAATTATCACATAATATAATTTATAGCTCAGTCAAAATTAAGGATGAAAAACATTAAGAAAAGTGACAGATCATGTAATAGCTTCTTACTGATGCTTTACAGTCTAACTACAACGTCTTTATAAAACACATTCACTTTTATTTAAATATACAGAGTGAAAGGCAAGACGTTTAAAATTGAATAACATTAGCACGTCCATAACTGGCGAATCAAAGGAACAAAACTCAAAAACTGACAGCCTATCCTTATAAAGCAAAGAGAAGAATGGTCATCAGCTGTGTTTACAAGGGTCGTACCTGTTTCTGGCTATCATTACCTCGAGTCACTGTGTATCAATTTTTCATCTAGATGTTAGTCCCTTCTAAACATCATTCACGTTAAAATATTGTAAATATATCTCTCTAAACCCAGATTATTTTCTGCATTGTCAGTCATCCCTTCATTCAAAAAAAAAAAAAAGTAGAGCGAAAATGGTAAAAATCCCTTCGCCTTCCTCTGTGTTGAAATATTTCGATAAGCTTTCATTAAGTTCTAAGGGTTCCGTGGAGCCCTGGAACTCTACGAGTTTGAAAACCCATAACCCCAGATTTCATCGTAAAGAATATCAAAACCACCTTACATGCGTATGTTAGTAGTTCATTTGTGCACATTACCCCTTTGCAACCTCAACCTGAGTACCCCACCCCACCATCTCTTCCCACCCTCAGCTTATACACCCCCACAACAACACCCCACCCTCAACATGGGTACCTCACCACACCCTCAGTATGTGAACCCCCAACACACATCCCTCAACATCACACTACCTCGCCCCACCCCACCCCACCTTCAGCATAGGCACCACACTACGTTCTCAGCCTAGGTAATTTCTGCATCTACCTGGTCTCGAGTATTTATCATTCCACAAGCATTTCATTAAACTATATTTTTTATTATATCTTAAACAGCTTTAAAATTATTCCACGCGTCGTAAGAATATTCAATAGTAGTGTATTGATCTACATTTGCAGGTAAACTTGTTACCTGTGCCTCAGCGCTGCGTCCTCCTCCCGCCCTTCCTGCATGTCTTCATAGGCTGCAAGTCCTTCTCTAGCGGGGACCATCTGCCCGCTCCACCCTCTCCTGCTGCCTTGCTCCCAAAGGGTCCAGTAAGAAATGCACCTACAGTTTTCCCTCCCCGTAGACATTCTCACCATTCTCATCTAGCCCTGCAAATATCTGTTCCGGCTTCTCTCAGCACAGCGGCAGCCTCTCCTAGCAGCATCACAACTCCCAAAACCCCAACGTCTTCAAGCTTCCTTGCAATTTCCCCGAGCATCATATCTTCTAGTTCTGTTAAAATTTCTCCCGGTAATAACGGAAGCTCTCGCAGAACACTGCCTGCTTCTCACAGTCTGGAGGCAGTTACCACTGCCTTGACAGATGTTGCTTATCCTTTAATTGACCACACCATCGTCATGAGCTCCATGCAAGGCGATGAGCACAACGTGAGAGATGGAGTAACAGAAACCGACGTGACTGAGGGGAACACGTTTGCAGATAGAATTGAAATGGAAGTCACGGAAAAATATTACGAAGGAAAATCCACAAATGAAACCGCTGAAAAGGACATAGGAGGCCAACAAAAAATGGCAGATGAACAGGACGCTACAATTTCTCTGCGAGACTTCGATGTCTCGGGTTCTGGTCTCCAGTTTAATGTTCCGTTGCGGTTCCTGGGCAGTTTCTTTGCTCCATTTTTCTCGCGAATAACGGAAGAGAAACCCCAGCAACATACGAGAGCCCTGAGGAACACCACGACACCTTCCGTCACCCTTGACAACACTGATGCTGGAGGAGCTTCTCTCGGGCAGCGAGACTCTCCAGAAACTGGGCCCATCAGGTAATGCTTTATGGGTTGTTTTTGTTTACATCCTCAGCTCCTTTATAAGATATTTAAGTAGAGAGAAGAAAACTTTCTTCGGATTGTTGATGCTGGAAGATTAACAACTCAGGATAACTCAAGAAGGACAAGCAGTGTAGTATTAATTGACAGCTTTGACTTAGTATGGATTATTTTCCTTCGAGTCCTTATATCCTATTTCCCAGGATGCCACCCACAATAGTTAACTAACTCCAGTAGAAAGAAGAGGACGTCACTGGGTATATTAATAAGACTAGAACGTCACTGACTCACTGGGTATCTTAGACTAGGACGTCACTGGGTATATTCATAAAACGAGGACGTCACTGGGTATATTCATAAAACGAAGACGTCACTGGGTATATTGGTAAGATGAAGACCTCAACAGCTGAGGAAGGTTTAACACTAATTCGTCTGATCTAATAAAAAGTATAAAATACATTATTCACTTAGAATTCCGTATTTACCTTATAATACAGCGGAGTGTTAGTCTTGTACAGCGAGCGTCTTGTTTGATGTTACAACCTGTTAATATGTCCCACAGAGCAGTCTTCCTGCGTGATGCCTCCCGCCTGCTGCCCATCCTAGTCTCCAACGCTCCCACCCACACCCGAGCCTTCCACACCAGGCCCTGTACCCGCACCTGTGGTGGTGGTACCCGCCTTGTTACCCAGGTACACCCACGTCTACCCATACCCAAACCTTCACCCCCACCACGCACCAGGTTGTGCCCATGTTTGTCACTGACGCGGGTCACCAAGTGTGTGCGCAGCTAGTTGTGTTTACAAGCGTTCACACTAAATCACTAGTCTAGTTAAAACTGTAAATTGTAGAATTTGATTGTACCACATCATCCCTCTCATTCAGATGGTTCCAACGCTCTCTCTTATTCAAATGGTTCCAACATCCCTCTCTTTCAGATGGTTCCAACGTTCTCTTTCATTCAGATGGTTCCAACGCTCTCTCGCATTCAGATGGTTCCACTTCCTAGCTTCCCTCAGACTGAAGGTTCACGTTGACACACAGAAGGTTCTCGTTCCTATGAACCATCTGTGTTTACTTTCCATGTTCCCTCCTTTCAGAAGTCCTGTCTCTTAGTCACCCTGTCAGATCCTGAGTATCACGTCATTATCATGTCCCTCCTGTGTGTCACTAACTCAGGTTACCATGTGTACGTGTGCGGGTGCATTTCCTATATGTGGTTGCAGAGGTCGAGTCTTAGCTTCTGGCCCTACCTCTGAGCTTGATCATTGTCCTCATAATTCAAATAATCTAACCCTATCAATTCCTCTTTAAGTTTCTGTACGTAGAAATCATGTCTTCCTCCGTTGTCTTTCTCTCCTATAAGGTCTAAAGGTTCACTTTTTTCAACTTCTCCTCATAGTGCATTTCTCTTTGTTGTGGTGCAGACCTTTGGACTTCTTCCAGTTTCTTTACGTGCTTCACCAGTTGGTGGCTCCATGTTGAGGCTGCGTAATTAATAATTAATTATCCTAACATATATCGTGTATAAGGTTCTGAAGGATTATTTATTCAGGTTCTTGAATGCTATTCTGAGGTTTTCTAATCTCGTATATGCCACTGACCTTATAAGGTTTACGTGCAATTCTGACTATATTCTAAGTGTTATATTCACCCCCAAATCTTTTTCACTCTGATATTTGCAGCCTCTCTCCTCTCATGCTGTACTCTGTGTCCGGTCTGCCGTCTCCTCCAAAACAAATGATCTTACATTTACTTAGGCTTAACTCAAAAAGTCATTCGTTTGACCACATCTGCAGTTTGTTGAAGTCCCTTGGAGTATATCACTGTCCTCTCCTGTTTTTATTATTCTCATTAGTTTTATGTCGTCAGGAAACAGTGATACACAGGAATCATTCCCCTCTGGTAGGTCATTCACGTATGTTAAGAACAAAAGTGTGTGTGCTCACCTAGTTACTCACCTAGTTGTGGTTCCAGGTATCGAGTTTTAGCTCATAGCCCTGTCCCTTCGTTGGTTGCTACTAGGTTCACTATCTCCCTTTATCAAACCTCGTGTTAAAGCTATGTATGGATCCTGCCTCCACTGCATCATACTCCAGATTGTTCCACTTCTTGACAACTCTATGACTCAAGAAATACTTCGTAACATCCCTGTGACTCATCTGAGTTTTCAACATCCAGCTGTGACCCCTTGTTGCTGTGTCTCATCTCTGAAACATTATGTAGCTATCTACTTGTCAAATCCTCTCAGTATTTAATATGTCGTTATCATGACCCCTCTTTCCTCCTGTCCTCCAGAGGTAAGGTTGATTTCCCTTAACCTCTCCTTGTAGGGCATACCCCTTAGCTCCGGAACTAGTCTTGTTGCAAACTTTTGCACTTTCTCTAATTTCTTGACATGCTTGACCAGGTGTGGGTTCCATACTGGTGCTGCATATTCCAGTATGGGCCTGATGTACACAGTATATAGTGTCTTGAATGACTCTTTACTTAGATGTCAGAACGTTAATCTTAGGTTTGCCAGGCGCCCATATGCTGCAGCCGTTGTTTGGTTGATATACACCCCAGAAGATGTGCTCGGTATGATGCTCACCCCAAGACATTTTTATTTAAGTGAATTTTGCAACCTTTGACCTAGGCTATACTCCGTGTGTGGTCATCTTTGTCCTTCCCCAACTTCATAACTTTGCAATTATTGGGGTTAAACTCCAGGAGCCATTTTTTGGACCAGGCTTACATCCCGTCCAGATCTCCTTGTAGGCTTGCCTAATCCTCTTTCACTTGTATTCTGCCCATTAGCCTCACATTGTCTGCGAAGAGAGACACCTCTTAATCTATCCCTTCTGTCTTGTCATTCACATATACTAGATGCATCACCGGACCTAGAACTGACCCTTGCGGAACCCTATTAGACACATGCACCCACTCTGACACCTCTTCACATACCAATACCCTTTGTTTCCTTCCTGTCAAGTATTCCCTGATGCATTGCAGTAGTTTCCCTGCTATTCCTGCCTGCTCATCTAACTTTTCAACCAGTCTCATGTGTGGTACTGTATCGAAAGCCTTCTTTGTGTGTGTGTGTGTGTGTGTGTGTGTGTGTGTGTGTGTGTGTGTGTCACTAACCTGAGTTACTATATATTAGGTGTGTGTGGAGATAACTAAGCCAGATCACCAGTGGATGATGCATTGTGTGATGGACTCCCCAACTACCAGGCGCCTTACAACGAGACCTGCAACACTTTTCCCTGCCTCGCCCCCAGGTGAGTCTCGTCTCAACCACCTGCGTAGTTGTTGTGTTCTGCATCACGCTACGCGAGTTCTTAGTCACTCACCTGCCCAGTGTTGTGTTCTGCGTCTTCTCTGGAGAGTCTTATTTACTTGTATTGATAGTCATTGGATGGCGAAGCGTCTACAAAGTAAAGATACCCAGAAGTTGCACATGTTTAATTCTTCATCACTCCCAATACAAATTTAAAACGGGTTATTATAAAGTGGATTGTTTTAACTCACTCTGTATTAGGACTGACGAAGCCACTCATGGCGAAACGATTTCATGAAAAAATATCCTGAACTGTACAAAAGTGTACTTTTCCATACATTCATTATTGTTGTTTATGCTTCGAAACAGATTTTTTTATTTTCCTGTGTTTCCATGTTAGTGAATCCTCAGCCCTGCTAAGAAACTTAATGCTAGTATATGTAAGATAAATTTGCATATACCAACAAGTGATGCAGCATGGGCCAGTAGGCTTGCTGCGGGGCACCCTCTTATGTGTTTAAGTGTCTGATATATGAGAGTGTTGGTGTGTCGCAGGTGGGTGTCTGGGGCGTGGAGCGAGTGCTCAGAGTGGTGTGGCGTGGGACTCCAGCACCGTCAGGTCTCCTGCGGCATGCCCCTCGTTAGAGATGCTCACCCCTTGACGGCAGGATACTTGCTGGACCCTGCCAGCTGCGGCAAGCACCATCAGCCTAGGGAGGCCCAACTCTGCCAGGGCCCCTGTTCACATGGTGAGTCTTATGCTGCTTAGTTCACATAGTGGATCACCCTATTCTATACACTTAACTAGTACTTATAAGACCTAGTACCCCGACTATATTGTAAATACAGCTGAAAAGACCTCATTATTTTACATTTATTATATTTCATTATTATAAATTATTATTAATATGCTATCATAAATTTAATATCTTTCAAAACTTTGATGTACCGAAGTAGGAAATTAATTCATGGCTTGGTAGTTCTTACTTTTCATCTTTTCCTCGATGACAGTGGACTGCAGTGTGAAAGACAACGTCCTGCACCCGGCCTGCTACAAGCTACTCCAGGACTCCTCTCTGGAGAAGGACCATATTGATGAGCCCGTTCTGCGAGGCTCCTCACGAACTTAAGCTGGCCGGTCAAAGATTACCAGACGGAGGTTCAAGCCCTTGTGTTTAGATCTACATGGAATGCAATACAATTCAAGAAAAGGAGAACTAGCTTTACCAAAATCGATCTCTTTCTTAAGATTCGTTTTTGAAAAGAATTCTCAGATCAAGACGATTTCAAGTCATGCACCCCATATCCATACTGGTAATGGAAGTCATCCCATACCCATCCTGGTAATGGAAGTCTTCCCATACCCATCCTGGTAATGGAAATCTTCCCATACCCATCCTGGTAATGGAAATCTTCACATACCCATCCTGGTAATGGAAATCTTCCCATACCCATCCTGGTTGTTAGGTAAGACACATATGCAACAGTTAGGTATCTTTATTATGAAACGTTTCGCCTACACAGTAGGCTTCTTCAGTCAAGTACAGACTGAAGAAGCCTACTGTGTAGGCGAAACGTTTCATAATAAAGATACCTAACTGTTGCATATGTGTCTTACCTAACAACCTGTCGGTATTTTATACCATTTTAATGTTCAACCCATCCTGGTAATGGAAATCATCCCATACTCATCCTATTTGTGTCATCATCTCGTATCCATCCTGTTGGCGGTAGTTTTTTTTTTTTTTGGCGGTAGTCATCCCATGCCTATCCTTTGGGCGGCATTCCTTCTATACTCATTCTGTCAAAAATATTACAGAGGAATAAAGGTGCCCAGGGAAAGACTCTCAACATTTCTAGCTCAGATCTGAACTTCCTCACGTCTTTAAGAAGATTATCTAAAAGAGAAGTGTTGTATAATAAAGCTCAGCTCTCTTAAGTGTCTCCATTAACCTACTTGTCGACAGTGTTGTCTTGCAAGCACTTGTCGACAGTGTTGTCTTGCAAGCACTTGTCGACAGTGTTGTCTTGCAAGCAGTTGTCGACAGTGTTGTCTTGCAAGCAGTTGTCGACAGTGTTGTCTTGCAAGCAGTTGTCGACAGTGTCTTGCAAGCAGTTGTCGACAGTGTTGTCTTGCAAGCAGTTGTCGACAGTGTTGTCTTGCAAGCAGTTGTCGACAGTGTTGTCTTGCAAGCAGTTGTCGACAGTGTTGTCTTGCAAGCAGTCGACAGTGTTGCCTTGCAAGCAGTTGTCGACAGTGTTGCCTTGCAAGCAGTTGTCGGCAGCGTTGCCTTGCAAGCAGTTGTCGGCAGCGTTGCCTTGCAAGCAGTTGTCGGCAGCGTTGCCTTGCAAGCAGTTGTCGGCAGCGTTGCCTTGCAAGCAGTTGTCGGCAGCGTTGCCTTGCAAGCAGTTTGTCGGCAGCGTTGCCTTGCAAACAGTTGTCGCAGCGTTGCCTTACAAGCAGTTGTCGGCAGCGTTGCCTTACAAGCAGTTGTCGGCAGCGTTGCCTTACAAGAAGTTGTCGGTATTGTTGCCTTGCAAGCAGTTGTCGGCAGCGTTGCCTTACAAGCAGTTGTCGACAGCGTTGTCTTGCAAGTAGATGTCGGCAGCGTTGCCTTGCAAGCAGTTGTCGACAGCGTTGCCTTACAAGCAGTTGTCGGCAGTGTTGCCTTGCAAGCAGTTGTCGGCAGTGTTGCCTTTCAAGCAGTTGTCGACAGTGTTGCCTTGCAAGCAGTTCTCGACAGTGTTGCCTTGCAAGCAGTTGTCGACAATGCCTTGCAAGCAGTTGTCGGCAGTGTTGCCTTGAAAACAGTTGTCGACATTGTCTTGCAAGCAGTTGTCGGCAGTGTTGCCTTGCAAGCAGTTGTCGACAGTGTTACCTTGCAAGCAGTTGTCGGCGGTATTGTCTTGCAAGCAGTTGTAGGCAGCGTTGCCTTGCAAGCAGTTGTCGGCAGCGTTGCCTTGCAAGCAGTTGTCGGCAGCGTTGCCTTGCAAGCAGTTGTCGGCAGCGTTGCCGTTGCAAGCAGTTGTCGCAGCGTTGCCTTGCAAGCAGTTGTCGGCAGCGTTGCCTTGCAAGCAGTTGTCGGCAGTGTTGCCTTGCAAGCAGTTGTCGGAAGTGTTGCCTTACAAGCAGTTGTCGGCAGTGTTGCCTTGCGAGCAGTTGTCGGCAGTGTTGCCTTGCAAGCAGTTGTAGGCGGTGTTGCCTTGCAAGCAGTTGTCGGCAGTGTTGCCTTACAAGCAGTTGTCGGTAGTGTTGCCTTGCAAGCAGTTGTCGACAGTGTTGCCTTGCAAGCAGTTGTCGACAATGCCTTGCAAGCAGTTGTCGGCAGTGTTGCCTTGCAAGCAGTTGTCGGCAGTGTTGCCTTGCAAGCAGTTGTCGGCAGTGTTGCCTTGCAAGCAGTTGTCGGCAGTGTTGCCTTGCAAGCAGTTGTCGGCAGTTGCCTTGCAAGCAGTTGTTGGCGGTGTTGCCTTGCAAGCAGTTGTCGGCAGTGTTGCCTTGCAAGTAGTTGTCGGCAGTGTTGCCTTGCAAGCAGTTGTCGACAGTGTTGCCTTGCAAGCAGTTGTCGACAATGCCTTGCAAGCAGTTGTCGGCAGTGTTGCCTTGCAAACAGTTGTCGACAGTATTGTCTTGCAAGCAGTTGTCGGCAGTGTTGCCTTGCAAGCAGTTGTCGGCAGTGTTGCCTTGCAAGCAGTTGTCGGCAGTGTTGCCTTGCAAGCAGTTGTCGGCAGTGTTGCCTTGCAAGCAGTTGTCGGCAGTGTTGCCTTGCAAGCAGTTGTCGGCAGTGTTGCCTTGCAAGCAGTTGTCGGCAGTGTTGCCTTGCAAGCAGTTGTCGGCAGTGTTGCCTTGCAAGCAGTTGTCGGCAGTGTTGCCTTGCAAGCAGTTGTCGGCAGTGTTGCCTTGCAAGCAGTTGTCGGCACTGTTACTTTGCAAGCAGTTGTCGACAGTGTTGCCTTGCAAGCAGTTGTCGACAGTGTTGCCTTGCAAACAGTTGTCGACAGTGTCTTGCAAGCAGTTGTCTGCAGTGTTGCCTTGCAAGCAGTTGTCTGCAGTGTTGCCTTGCAAGCAGTTGTCAACAGTGTTGCCTTGCAAGCAGTTGTCGACAGTGTTGCCTTGCAAACAGTTGTCGACAGTGTTGCCTTGCAAGCAGTTGCAGCCAGCCTGACACTGACGACACGGGGTACGTAATCATATTGGTCTTGAAACAAGAATACAGTAGTTTCACAGGGAAGGTTCCTTGTTGCTGGTGAGAAGCTATCGATCCAAAGAATAAGATTTGTACTCTCCTGAGCTGCACCTGATTCCCTCCAGGTATTCTATGACCCCTACAGGTTTAGTGCTTCCTCCATAAATATAATGTTGGCAATACTGATAGACGCTGCCATAAATATAGAAAATAATTGGCCTTGTACACTTCAAATTGCAATATCTTTAAAAAATCACAGCTAAAATTGTCATCCTGGGGGGACATTTATTACGTCATTAATCTAAATGGAGAATAACAGTGGTACCTGTATTGATAGTTTGGTTGATGAGGCAGTCATTGATAGTCTCACACATGCTAACGTCTGTTGGTAAACCAGGACTTTGTGACTGGGTTTAGTGCTTATTTATGATTTTAATAATCTAATTTCAACGGCATGATGGTGATGTCTACAGTCTCAAAAGTCTTTATTAAATGTTGGTCTAGCATCTTCATAGCACCATTAATATTTTACACTAATCTGAACCCTAATTGACAAGGGTTAAAAACATTCTGCTTAGTAATAAATGCGTATTTGTTTATGTATATCTTCAAAGACTTTGAGATAATAATGGCAAGTGAGAGACTGGTCTATAGTTGATTTCAGTTGGATCTCCACCTTTGTGGATTGAATTAATACTTGCAAGCTTAAGTAAGTAACGTTTAGTTTTCAAGAGATTTATTAAACAGAGTTGCTATGCTAGATGATAACACATGGTGCTAAACTCGCTGTATTACCTGCTTTGTTTTTAAGTGTATTTTAGATTGAAGTTAGCTCTGCAGTATTTGCTGGGGACGGGTAGGGGGAGCCTTGATAAGTCACTGTAGTAATGGCTAACCTGAGCGTTTGTGATCTTGCTGGTAATGTTACTCCCTAAAGTTGAGACGTCATTAAGTTTATTTACTATAGCAGCAATATGGATGGGAAGTTTGTTAGGTCTCTCAATGTAATTTCTTTGCTCTTGACAGTTTTGCGTGAGCCCAGTACTAGTGCTCAAAATATACACTGAAGCCTCGTGGAGCCTAGATGAGATATTGTAGGTGTCACTTGGTGCTTTAATAACGTTGGTAACAAGGAAGGTGGAGTAATGATCAGTTGTGTTGTCAGTTATGCCAGAGTTTAGAGCTGTTATATTTGTCCACAGGTAGTCAGCAGCTGCAGATGGCTTAGTGGTTCACATGGGTTTGGTTACTGAGGACAATAAAAATTAATTATACATGTTTAGAGAACTTTTTTTTATATTTTAAGAAAAAATATACATAATACATAAGAAAAATCACAAGCCGACAATTAACGGATCAAAAGACCGTGGCAGACAATGTCAGTACACACTCAAAAAACACAATACATTTTAACACATTGATATTACAAAATACTTCTGAATAAACCCAACCAGTTTATGGAAAAAACGTACCGACTCCCAAACAAACAGGCGGAGTCATTATAAAACATGGAGTAAGTCCTATAATCATATATGTATATATATACACATGCATATACACACACATACATGTATGTGCACATGTGTGCGTACAGAAAAGACTGGATTATACATGAAATAATGCGCAAATTGACTTGACACTAAATAAACTAAATATATATTACATCCACTAATAGAACTGTACCTAAGACATTGGTTCCCACAAACACATCTACACGCACAAAGACAAAAAAAAAAAAAAAAAAAAAAAAAAGACCCAACAGGGCCATATCCGTGATCACCACGACCTTCCAACCGCTTATCAACACACTTGGCTTAGCGCTTCTTTTTGATTATAATAATAATTATCAACACACACAAGTTAATGTTGACGGGTAACATTCAATATATAATCTGACCTACCATACAAATAGAAAGGTATATATAAACCCCATAAATAACTTATATATTCTCATACAGAGTTCATAATGTACCTCTTTAATTATACGTTAAAAAAAAAAAGTATGACAAGGACAAAGTTATCACCAGATGCAAATATACAAAGCATATCCTCCACGCATACATATGAATATAACTCCCTATACATTATTATTATTATAATCAAGGGGGAAGCGCTAAACCCGGAGGATTATACAGCGCCTGGGGGGGGGGAATGTGGAAGGCATTCAGGCTTAATTCGGGGAACTGGAGCACAGTACTCCCTATACAAAAAGGTTCTTATAACGATATAAAAAAAAAAAAAAAATCACATACAACTTTTAACACTGTGGTTTTACAAAATTCATAAGGTCTACATACCTCGGAGCCTTTATA